CTTCTTTACCAGCACCACAGGTGAACACCATGGACTAGATGAAGGTTCAATAACACCATCCTTCACTATTCCCTCAATCATGGTTTCCACTTCCTTTTCACGTGCTACAGGCAATCTTCTTGGCTGCTGACGAATAGGCAATTCTTGTCCTGTGTTTATTTTGTGTTGAACTAAGCCAGTCTTTCCTATGTCAGCTTCGTTTGACGAGAAAACATTGGCGTACTTGAGTAACAACTTCTTCGCCTTGACCATTTCATTCGGGGAAAGAACGCTGCGACAGTCTTCTAAAAGTGTGGTCACTCTCGTTTGTCCATCCTTGCTGGGGGTCCCGGTCGATAGATATTCGCACCGACGTAACCAATCCAATTCCTCACTAGTACCAACCAATGTGCCTTTTTCTATAATCTGTTCCTGATCACAAAGGTTCAACACACGTACTCCTGAGATGTCGGTGGTTCTGACCAAGGTTCGAGCCACTTTTCATGGAAGGTCATTGTCTACCCTTTCCACGAGTACACAACGATGAGCTTGCCCAGGACTCCGAGGAAGACTAACCGGCACAATCGTTTCCGATCTCGGCGGAAGAACAATCTTCTTAAGGCTGTACACATTCCCTGGTAACGCCCCTTCCACGAAAAGTTCCTCTTGTCCACATCTCAAAACACCTTGCTTAACGTCGATCTCACAACAATTCTTACTCATAAAGTCTAGGCCCAGGATGCAGTCGTCCATTATGCAGGTAGATCATGTTACCTAGCTTCAACTCCATCTCATTCTCTCCACGGACGGGTATGCGCTGACCGGTGGCTGTCACCAAATTAATGCGTTCTCGGTTGTATGCGGAGTCCCCAAGAAACTGATTTATAAGTTGGGAACTGACAACCGTGCGAGAGGCTCCAGTGTCTATGGTCAGTTTACACGGCCTTCCGTTGACCTCGCCCTTGATGATCAGGCTGTTTCCATCACGGGTTTGTGAGATCGAAATCCTTGGGGCTCTTTTAACAACAGCCTGCACCCGCCAGTTTCCCTGCTGCTGCTGGGCGGTGCTATCAGCCACACTACTCTCTCGATATCGATTACCTTCCCTTTCTACAGTTCGTTTAGGGCAGCTGGATCGAAGATGGCCCCTTTCCCCACAGCGGTAGCACCTAGGGCTGTAGCCCTTATTGCGGTCCTGAACTGTAGCTGCTGCAACATCCCTGACGCGGTGGGAACGATGATCCTGCCGCACGGCGTCCACCTCCAGTACATGGGCCAAGGCGTCCTTAAGCGTCTCGTGGTGCCCGAGCCTCACAGCAGCTCTGACTTCAAGGTCGCGGATGCCGTCGATGAATGTCTGCACCAGGTTCCCTACAATGAGCGCAGGTACAGACTGGTACGCTTTTCGAACCAGTTTCTCCACCTCAAGGGCCTACTGCTGCAGGTTTTCGTTACTGCGTTGCACGCGATCTTTGAGCTGCGCACGAAAGACGTGTTCCAGGTGAGCATCGCCATATCTCGCCTCCAATGCCTCAAGGAGCTGCTCGTAAGTCACTTCCTTACCGAGAGCTTCCAGAACAGTTAATGCCTGGTCGCGTAGGCCTAGGGTGAGAGCAGTCATGGCCTGACTTTTATTCCAGCCGTTCGATTTCATGACAGCCTCGAACTGGATTTTGTAGGCCGAGCAGGAAGAACTCCCGTCGAACGGCGGCACTTTGAATCCACGTAGCGAAGGTGTTGTAGCTACTACGGGAGCTATAATTCTATCCCCAAGTTTGAGGTCGTCCAGCGTTTTCTTCACATCAGCCATCACGTTGTCAACCCGATTGTTCACTTGGTCGATACGGGTTTCAGCTTCCGACAGGCGGTTGTCATGTTGAGCAACCCTATCCTTCACCTCCTTTATCTCCTTCCCGAAGGTAGCGTGAAGGTCCTTCCTGAGGAGCATCTGTTCTTCCATACCGCGCTGCAGCTGCTCTTCCAACCGACGGGTCTGTTCCTCCTGTCGGCGGGCCTGTTCCTCCTGTCGGCGGGCCTGTTCCTCCTGTCGGCGAGCCTGATCCTGCAGCATGATCATCAGAGCACCTAAGTCAGGTGCTACAGATGCAGGAGCTGCTGACGGGCCAGCCTCCGTGGTTAGCAGCTGGCCCTCCGACGTTTGCGGCGTTGCATTACCAAATCGTCTCTGGTCCGTCTCCTGTTGGCCTTGACTTCGGGTACGGATACCCTATAGACGACACGGATGTCGTCTTTAGGTAAAATCGGCATATTTGATCCCACTTCTGACACCAATTGTTACGGGTTCGAGACAATTAAAAACTGCCGATTGAATTACCAAAATTGACACTTCAACAGTGATGTTTTGCCAAACGTGGTAATTGTAGTAAATCATCCCGATAATGACCACCGGTCTAGATATTTTTAAGTGCGACAATTTTTGACGCTGCACGAATATGTATTCAGTGGCATTCTAAATTTTATCAGTTACTTATCATTAGTTTATTTAGCAGAAAGTAGATGGCGCTATATTACATTAATACTATGAAAGTCAAAACTGTACTATCTAGTAATATCAGCTATAGAAGGTTGGGGTCCGATTGGCTCAAAAGCCACTCCAAGGCCGCGAACATTTATTTATTATATAAAAAAGGCATAAAGTGATGTTGATTCTGTTAAAAATGACGGTTCCATGGTCCAGTGGCTTTACACTAAACTTTAAACTAAACTGTTGGTTAATTATAGACCCTATATCAGTCCGGAGCTCTTCGACGCGCGTATGTACACGCCGATTGTTTAGTTGGCTGACTCGGTCGATAACGTCACTTCGCTCAGAATTTTGACGTGCGCATGTATCAAAATGGCGCTACTTGTCGAATCAACTACAGTTGATAGAGGCAGTTGAAAAACGACCTGCGCTTTATAAAAAACAGTTAAAAGAGGACGCTGATTTTAATTTAAAGAAAAAGCTGGCGGAAGAAGTAATCTGTCACTGTATATAGGATGCAACCACTATCCTGGGTTTCTCTTCTTGATCCGTCTCCTTCGTTGTATAATAGCGCATTTCTGGACAATATTTTAGATTTCATTACGCGACTACTCATTTCAAGAGCTGCTTACTAACTATAAAATAAATTAATAGATAATAGTGACATCTATCAAACGTATCAAAATTTATATTTTTTTGAACTAGGTATATCTTTTTTTTATAGGTGACAAACGAGCACACAGTCCACCTGATGGTAAGTTGTTGCTGTGGCCCATAGATATCTACATCTATCATCGTTTACGAATCAAAATGCAGATGCGTTATCACCTGTGAGGACTAAGATAGAATGCCTCTTTTACAGAAAAAAGGGTCTCCGGTTCTCTACACTCACCATACGAAACACAGTAGTGTTAAGCTGCTATTTTAGGCTGGTATTCCGTGAGAGCGTGGTCCTTCCCCGGTAGAGCCGACCCATTCGTTCTACAACTACACTACTAATATAGCTGCAGCATGGCTCTACCACGCAAAAATATTAAAAGTAATCACACATTTAGTAAACGCAGATTAAGAACGAGTACCTAAGTATTCCAACAAGTGTGAGTGCATTCTACGTAATATCCAACCAATGTTTAAACGTAGCATACATTACAAGTCATTATTCTACTGTGTTTAATGAAAGAAACTGGTAGTTTATTTTTAAATTTATTCAGACATATAAACTTTTCAAAACTTTGACAGTAAAAACACACAAAAACACGGCAATAAAGGTAACATTGAATAAAATTTATAATAAATTATACGATTGAAAAACAAAAACGGAAGTTGTGTATATTTTTTTATAACTATTATTATATCAATTTATTTATAGTATTATCATACAATATGTGGGATTTTGATATAATTTGACACTTTAATATTCCATTTTGTGCTTTAAAAAATAAGTATGGAAAGCAAGATTTTTTACAAAATTTATGAAAGGAAGTTTTTTACACGAAAAATAGTTACTTGAGAAATTCAGAGATTTCTTGATAGTTTTCAAGATTGAACACGACTTACAACTTATTGGTAAGCAAGTAAACAGCTGCTATTTGCAGGCCAGAATTGGCTATGATTAAACTAACCACTGGAGATTTTCTCTCGCTTGGCAGGCGAGTTTGATTTCCTATTTCATAGTACCCATAAAAAACGTAACTGTTAATGGGTATATCAAGTACCAACACTATCTCTAACCATGTTAGTGAAGCTTGATTACGTAGCATCGTTCTCTAGGGTAACATTACGTACAAACATCAGATTCAGAGCAATTATTCGTAAGTCATGGAAACAATTGTTATTGGCGGGATTCGAACCTGTGGCCCTTGCACTAAATGTCAATCCACTACGCCACCGAGCCATCAAACACAAGTTCAACACACACGAGTGTAAGTGGAGTCGTATTCACGCGACGGACTTAGATTTCCTTTTATTGCATTATATTTACTGGTATGCAAGTAAACTGTCAACGGATAAGACGGTGCAGTAGGCCAGTTATGTCTCACTCCAAATTTCCCTGTAATTCTGTGTGGTTGGTAGATATATTTATTTTTATTTTTATTCACTTTTCTTTTGGTACATTCTGTGAGTGTGCGCAGGATGTGGCGTATTCATGCCTGGTTTATGATATTGTTTTTTTTTCACTGCATTTGCTTTTTCTTTAAAAAACTGTGTATAATAGATTTATTTTTTCAACGTTTTTATTAACTAGATTTCTTGTATTTTCGGGTCGAATTTAATAATTGACTTTAAACTAATATTTTCGGATGAACATATAAGGATATAAAATGCGTGGTATATTTAAAAAAAAATACATAATGCTACGTTCCATGAATACCTAGAATATGAGAGTAATCTAATTAAAGTCTCTTATTGGCAACTTCTTCATTACATGGAGACTCTGGCAGGATTACAATTTTTTTTTTTGTTTCTATTTTTAATCACTTTTTTTCTTTTTTGGAGAAGGGTTGTGTTGGTTCATGTTGTTGCTTGTTTTTCCGAGTTAGTTGTGTCTTTGTGTGGGGCATTGGGGGTTGTGCGGCGTGTGGGTGCCCGCCAGCGAGTCGTGGTGCAGCAGCTGCAGGAAGTAGGCGAGCGCGCGCGTGGGGCGGCCGCTCATGCGGTCGGGGCGCAGGTAGGGCGGCGCGGCGGCGTGCGCCAGCTTGCCCACGCCCGTCACGTCCAGGTGCAGCCACTCGCCGCACACGAACTGCTGCTTACGGCACGTTCCCGTCGTTATCATTCATTCATTCATGAATTATATTTTCTTATAGAATAAGGGTGACAAACGAGCACACAGTTCACCTGATGCTATATCCTCGATTAAAAATTAAAAATGTAAATGCGTTGTCAACCCTGATAACTAAGATGGGATGCCTTGTTTCCAGTAAAAATGGTATCCAGTTCTCTACACTCACCATACGAAACATAGCAGCATTAAGCTGCTGTTTTACGCTAGTATCCTGTGAGAACGCGGCCTATCCCGATCGATACGGCCCATTCGCGCTACAGCCATAAATTTCATTAATTTTATCTAATACGAGAGACTTGTGGACGGTAAATCCAACACCTCCTTGGGACAGATGGTCGCCCTCCCGGTAATAGAGCAAGTTGCCGGATTCGAGGATTACCGTGTCCTCCCCCTCTCTTCGGACTTCGGATAATCCTATAATATGCCAGCGTAACTTGTCTATCTCTTCTTCCAGCTCCACAATCTTCTCGTCAGTCCTCAGGGTGCGTGCGTTGTATGTTGCCAGGTCGAGTCGTCGTAGGTGGCAACCGAACCTCCACCGGAGATTCTTAGCACCCCCTGCCCCGCCGTTACCATGGTCGCCACCGTAGCCAGGAATAGCGGGGCCGCCGGGGACTGGGGGCCGTTTATTATTGTCATTGCTCATGGGGGGTATATTGCCATAGTTGCCACGCTTGGCGAGCGGGTTGGCAACCGCAGTTTTTTTATTGTTATTTTGACTAATATCAGGAAGATGCTGCTGCCCATCTCCTGCCTGTTTCCCTTTGTCGCCTTTTACGACACCCACGGGAAGATATGGGGTAGTGGATATTCTTAACCGCCACTACACGGCAATTTCGTATCAGTACGTACTCGTATTAGTAGTATTTGTACCGGCGTTACTATTTCACATTTTAACATGCAAAAGTAGTTATTGTGACATAACTGTAATAGTTAAACATATGGTATCGCAGACTTTTTTGTAGAGATTAATATCCTCTATAAAAGTGAAGTACATTACTTTGCTCTATTATCAATAGTTTCCGAAGCGTACGCGATATAAGGATTCTTTTTGGTATTTTTTTCACACATTGGGTTACATTAACGAAGTTTTCATACGGATCCCTAACTTTTTTGAAAATATTACATAGCCTATGTTCATCAGGGATAATGTAGGATTCTAATGGTGAAAGAATTTTTCAAATCGGTCCAGTAGTTTCGGAGCCTATTCAATTCAAACAAACAAACAAACAAACAAACAAATCTTTCCTCTTTATAATAGTAGTGTAGATGATGTAAATCACTGCTTTGCTTCCTTGTGGACTATATGTACTGAACTACGGCTAATGGTACTATTGCAGTGCACACACATCTGTCCACACGTTGTACTCGGCATCATCATCATCATCCTTATTACAGCCTATCAAAAGTCTACTGCTATGCTGACCATAGGTCTTCCTATAGATATTAATTGCTACTCTTGGCAGGCAATTTACTAACCGCCATCGTTCAGTAATAAAAAACTAAATACACAATCAACAATTAAAAGAAATAAAAAGATGTCCTTACCGAAGGAGCGCCCACTCGAACATTTGGGTGCGCTTTTAATTGGTACGTAGCTTTGTGAATAAAACTTTAGACAATGCATTTAAGGTTGAACTTACATTAATTAATGTATATTTATATCAACTAGAATTACGTCAATACAATTGGCAACAGTTTTTCTAGAACTTTTGCATGGAATTGTGTATTTAGTTTTTTATTAATGATCGATGGTAACCGCAGTGTTTTATTTTAAATCCTTATTAGGAAGACATTACTGCCTATCTTCTGATGTGTTTCCCTATGTCCCCTCTTACGACACCCGCGGGATGATATCGGGAGTGATTATTCTTACACCGCCACTGCACAGTTAGGTTTATTATACACGATTAAGATATTTAAGAGTTTGCAAACGCAGTATTTTCTAGACGTTATTAGGAAGACGCTACTGCAAATCTCCTGATTTGTTTCTTTGATGGACAGGACAGGATGATTGTGTGTATAACAGCGTTGCGATCAAGGCGAGGATTTGTCTAACCCAACATTAGAAGCTCATGTTCAGTAGTGGAGTTTTAAGAGCTAATGCAGAAGATACCATACCGATATCATTCACACCATCTGAATGATTGGTGGTCCACCACTGTGCGATTTAGAAGATGTTTTCTTCCTCGCACAACTTCCTTGTGGAATCGATTACCACCGGCGATTTTTCCGGACCGATACAACTTAGAGACCTTCAAGAAAAGAACCTACTCCTTTTTAATAGGCCGGCAACGCAACTGCTATTTACTTACCTTCAGGTGAGTCGCATGCTCGTTTGTCACCTGTCCTATAAAAAAAAGAACCAAGCTCCGAACTACCACAACATTGGTCGTTTCTGGGAAAGCAAAGTTTCTCGTCTCAACAGATAAACTCGCTCGAGAACATCAAAACTGCTTTCGCCGGGCTTGCTTGCTAATTGTATAATTTAATGTCTCAGCGATTTTAATCTAAGAGCTACATTCTACATGATTTTTTTATTTTTAAACTAACAAAGTCTACAATTTATTCTAACCTTTAGGAATGCAGCGCCAATACACGGAGTGGCCGTGCCTGATCCTTTATTTCTTAAATCCACAGATGGATCATCTGGATGAAATCATTTGTACATGGTTAGTAAATAATATTACATCGCAAAACTTACAGCAGTGTTTTAAGCCAACGACTGTACAAAGATATTTTGAATAATGCGCCAGTTGCATACTTATGTACCTTATGTAGGTACCTTCAGTGAAAAGTAATTCAACTCGAAAATTATAGTTTTGAGAAAATTAAGTTCAAAGTAAAAAAAAATTCTCACTGTATTTTTTCTACATCAGAGTAAGGTTTTTTTGCTAAGAGATTTAAATATAAATAAGTATACTACTACTTAAATGTCTTTGTTTTGTTGGTAGATGGCTTTTAACTCAATAAATATTGTAGTGTATGAAAAAAGAAATTATTGTAAAAAGTTTACCAAAAATAAAAAATTTATGTCTGTTTATATCACTATACGCACTTTTATTTATTTTGTGTAATTAAACTTGACTTTATACGAATCATTTTACACAATGCTTAGTGGTTCAGAGTTGACAGATAAACAGGCATGTATTTCAATTTTTTTGTTTAAAAATTTAATAAAATGAAAAAGTTGTGCAATAAAATTAATAAATGCTTGTTAATTTGTGTGCCAAAAAAAATTTTTTTGTGTGAAATTTAGGAATAATGTTATACAATTTTACTTAGAACGAGTAAACTCTTACTTAACTTAAAAAAATTAGTGAATAGTGATATAAAACGAACTTAATTATGATACATTATAACTTAAAAATATTAAAGCGCTATTGATATGGGCAAAACCAATAATATAAATAAATATTAGTAATACTGTAATGGGAGACATTTCATACGAATAGTTTTTAAAAATAAAAGCAGTAGGTACTCGTATGTATAAAATGTCAAGTAAACCTCTATTCATGTAATCGTTTAAGTAGCATCATTTATTATTTTGTACGTATTACCTTTATTCGGCATGTTAATATGATAATCATAAAAGCTTGGGGCCATTTTGCTATTATTCATTTTCTGATAAGATATCAGGATCAATTATTATTAGTCGGTAAGTTAAGATAGTAATAATGAACACTTGGATCGATATAATCTAAGAGAGACAGTAAATCTTTTTTTTTTTCTGCTCGCTAAAAGGAACTGGTCCTTTATAACATTTTTGAATAGAATGTATAATTTTTTTTATAGGATAGGGTGACAAACGTGCACACAGTCCACCTGATGGTAAGTGGTTGCTGTGTCCCATAGACACCTACATCTATCCTCGTTTGCGAATCAAAATGCAGATGCGTTGTCACCCGTGAGGACTAAGATAGAATGCCTCTTTTCCAGTAAAAAGGGTCTCCGGTTCTCTACACTCACCATACGAAATACAGCAGTGTCAAGCTGCTATTTTACGCTGGTATTCTGTGAGAGCGTGGTCCTTCTTCCCCGGTCAAGCCGACCCATTCGTGCTACAACTATACTACTAATATAGCTGCAGCATGGCTCTACCACGTATAAAGTTGTAGTTTTTATTCTTCTTGCTGTCATCGCCGTAACTTTCGTTATATTCAAAAACTAGAAACTGACCTTTAGTGAACTTCATCATTTTAAATCTGAGCACACGAATTTCCGACCCACGGTATTACACTTTTCTGCCGACTTCCAAAAAGGAGACGGTACTCAATTCGACTGTATGTTTTTTTTAATGTGTGTTACCTCATAACTTTTTACTGGGTGAACCGATTTCGATGATTCTTTTTTTATTTGAAAGCTGACACTTCTCGTGTGGTCCCATATGAATTTGATCAAGGTCAGACCAATAGTTATTGAGTTATTCTTAATAACTTATATTGAAGTCGGCTGTACAAAATTTTTAATTTTAAATTATTATTTTTATTAAAAAATCATGTTTTAAAAAGTTGGCAAAGTCAAGAAAATCGTTTTCCGTCATTTCGATAACGGAATATTTATTATTTCTATTAGAGACAGTTCTTACCAATTGTAACCAATCTCGCGGGTGATGAATATTCATAGAAGTTTTCTTTTTTGCTTTTTCAATAAGCGCCTGGTCACTATCTACCTCCAAGTGTGTGGGTATCAGAAACTTATGATCTATGACTGAAATCTGTTGCGGTTCTTTGACTGCTAACAATAACGCTGTACAAACTATAGAATTTTTATTCTGTCCAGAACACGACTCAGAATACATAATAAGGCTGTTGGCACATAAGTACCCAGTCACAATATATCTATCCCGTTCTATGTTACCGGTGGCAGAGATAGGTTATGGGAGTCGACTGATTCGTACCACTTACACGTAAAATTATTTTTTTAAACCGTTCCTATATAAGTTATAAAAGTAAACGTATTTTTAAACATTTATTCGAAAAGAAAGTTAATATTGATACAAGTCAAATTAAATCTGCCGTAACAAATTTCTTGGGATACTAAATAATTTAAAATTAAAAATTTTGTACAGCCGACTTCAATATAAGTGACTTCAATATAAGTTATTTAAGAATAACTCAATAACCATTGGTCTGACCTTGATCAAATTCATATGAGACCACACGAGAACTATCAGCTTTCATATAAAAAAAGAATCATTCAAATCGGTTCCCCCAGTACAAAGTTATGAGGTAACACACACATAAAAAAAACATACATTAGAATTGAGTACCGTCTCCTTTTTGGAAGTCGGCAGATAAGAGTGTAAATTGATTTATTTAAAGTTGTATTATTAGACTCATATTTACACTAGAGTAATATTTTCATTATTAGTTGCTTTAAATTTAATTGTGTCACATTTCACAAAACAATATAAATTTAAGTATTTAATGTATACTGATTTTTGAACAATTATATTAATATGTACAAATTCAGATCGGTATAATTCGATCGTGTAATAGGAGTTTATAAGAGTCATTGAGTTATATGTACTACGTACTAGAGAAGCCATTCCAAACAAAAATTGTGTCCTACTCTATGTCTTCGCGCATGCGCGGTAGTAGTAGTCGCACATGCGCGAAGACTTAATTTAATATAAAATAAGATATTAATATAAAATAAATATAAGAATTTAATATAAAATATCTTAATTTAATCTAAACAAACATATTTCTAAATAAAATGTAATAATAATTATTTTATGGAATTCACAAATCTTCAATTTACGCAATATTTAGTTTGTATGGATTGTACTACAGTTCAGTTGAACATAGTCTATGTTCGGAATGGCTTCTCTAGTACCTACGTAGTACATTTAACTCAATGATAAGAGTTGTATTATTATGCATGTAACTAACAAGAAAAATCAGTTCAGTTCATTTTAGGATGACTTAAAATACATTATTTAACATATTTCTTATAGTGAAAACTACTTAGTTATATTAATTTACACCAAATGTATCTCTCCAATTATAATTCGTAGAAGAATGAGGATTGGATAGAAAGAAATGCCATTTTTTCTGATTAACGTAGTTGAAATATATCAAAATTGATATTGGTCGAGTCGTATCACTTTTCACTGAAGGTACAGAATTTTGTGAAAAGGTGGTGGGAGTTAGATTGTTTAATGAGGAATGATAATATTTTCATTGAATGATATTATATAACTTAAAAATAAATTTGTCGATACGATACGCGCTCCACCTACTGTTAGTTAATTGAATTCGCGCTAGCGCAAACAATAAGTTGGCAAAGTTTTAATGCAATCTGATGAACGGTATGGCAGCGCATACAATACGAACAAACATTATTTTTTATATATTAAAATATGTTAGCGCTCGCTGTATGTTTCACAGTACGCGAGCAACCCGGTTTCGATCTCCGCCGGCACCAATGAAATAGTTAATTGCAATTTTTAGTGCTGATTTACCACGTGCTCGACGGTGAAGGAAAACATCGTGAGGATACCTGCATGTCTGAGAAATAAGAAAAAAATATTTCGAAGACATGTGTAGTTTGTCAACACGCATTGGGGCAGCGCGGCGGACATTTCCTGGCCCTAAAAACCTCTCAGAAATGAGAGGAGGCTTGCGCCCAGTGGGACGTATAACAGGCTGTAACTTTACTTTACTTTAAAATATGTTATAAATAATTCTTATTGAAAGTCATTTTTGATTCGAAAACCTCTGTCCTGGGAAAAACCAGTACGAAAGAAATCCAGCTGAACTAAAGTCCTTCCACCTTATCCCCTTAACCCTTATTAAAATGTGTTATTATTTACCTCTAGCTTTTTTACGTGGTAGAGCCATACTGCAGCTATATTAATAGTATAGTTGTAGCACGAATGGGCCGGCTCGGCTGGGAAGGACCACGCTCTCACAGAATACCAGCGTAAAATAGCAGCATGATGCTGCTGTGTATCGTATGGTGTGTGTAGAGAACCGAAGACCCATTTTACTGGAATTGAGGCGTTCTATCTTAGTCCTCACGGCTGACAACGCATCTGTATTTTAATTCGCAAACGAAGATAGATGTAGATGTCTGTTGGCCATAGCAACCACTTACCATCAGGTGGACTGTGTGCTCGTTTGTCACCTTTATTCTATAAAAAAAGCTGTGGCCCGCGGTTCTATTCGCGTATATCACGCGACTGAGCCGCGCGTAATGACATGATACCGCTACAAAATTGGCAAAATTATTGAAGTAATTCTTTTACTTTTACTTTTATCTATTGGTAGGTATATGTACGATATAGAGCAAAGTTAAATTTTATCCACTACCCCTCCACCTCCCGGGTGAGCGTCACCCCCCAGAAAGTACCCCGAAGCGCCGTTTTTTCTAGTTTTAAAGAGAATTTTAAAAAGCACGCTTTTGTAGTTAGTCGTAGTAAAAAATAGAAAATAAATAATAGTTTATTTTATTTATTTATTTATTTTTATTTATCTTCACGCACAATCCCTGACGGGGTAGCCAGAGAGAACAGATCGCCAAGTGTCACGTTACAAACCTCTTTCGCTTCTTTCAGATTCATTATCTTCTTCATGCATGCACGTCTAGGTATCCGAGTACTCTTGACCCTACCCTCTTCGAGCAATTTGCTCACATGGTCTTCGAAAGTTATTCTCGGTCTACCTCGACACCTTTTAATATTAACTTTCGCGCTATATATTTTCTTCACCATTCGGTCTTCACTCATTCGCTCAACGTGCCCAAACCACCGAAGCACGCCCTTATCAATTTTTGTGATAAGGTCATCTTTCAAACCTGCCATATTGCGAATCTCTTCGTTTCGCTTTCGGTCGGCCATGGTAACGCCGCACATTTTACGAAGAGATCGCATCTCCACTGCATTCAACTTACTTTTATGCTTCTTCTGGCATACCCAGGTTTCGCTGCCATATAACAAAGTCGGTACCAACACTACGTTATGTATTGCAAGGCGTGCACTCTTCGCTACGCCTTGCCTTTTGACTAACGCAGTCAGGGCACCATTGACTTTGTTCCCGGCAGCGACACGCCTGTCCACATCTAAATCACATCTTCCATCCCGGCTAAAAGCACTCCCCAAGTATACAATTTCATTTACCTGTTCTAGACATTCCTGATTTACCCATATTTCACACTTCGTTCTCTCTTCGTCCCTTTCAAATACCAGAACCTTAGTTTTATTAGCATTCAAACGGAGACCTTTAATTTCACATTCCTCTTTCATACACGTGACTAATGCCTGCAGTTCTGCCTCTGATGGTGCAATAAGCACTGCATCATCAGCATACAGCAGACAATTTACTTTTATGTCACCCAATTTCACACCCAAACAGCTATCTTTCAGCTTCTGTAAACAGCTGTCGAGATACAGTATGAACAGCCAGGAAGACATGACACAACCCTGCTTTACGCCCGTTTGGACGTTAAACATGGGTGACAGGTCATGTCCTACCCGCACACAGGCTTTACAGTCACAGTAAAGAGACTGTACAGCCCTTAGCAATCGACCATCCACACCATACCCCGGCAACAGTTCCCACATTTTCTTCCTTACAACCTTATCAAATGCTTTCTCAAGATCCACAAAAGCACAGAAAATCTTCTGGTTAACAGCCAGAAGCTTTTCCGTGATCATGCGGAGAGAAAACATTTGATCCGTGCATCCTCTTCCAGGTCTAAATCCGCATTGTGCCTCCCATAGAAATCTTTCCGATTTCTCTTGCATCCTACGTGTCAAAACCTTCGAGTAAACTTTACTTGCTAAACTGGTCAAGCTGATCGCCCGATAGGACCCGCAGTCAAAATGTGAACCTTTACCTTTATATAAAGGCACAATGACTGCGGATCGCCAATCATCCGGGACATCCCCCGTCCGCCAGCACAAATTGCACAGCAGATGAAAGCTGTCCCAGACACGAGGCCCACCATACTTGACCATTTCAGCAGTAACTCTGTCTAGTCCCGCAGCTTTATCACATTTCAAACTTCGAATCGCACGTTCAATCTCTTTCATACTGATGACCTCAGTGTCATCGAGGTCCGGGTCTGGCGTACCAGTCACGGCGTCATCCCCGGATCCCTCACTAAGATCATCACACGCATACATTTCTCTATAAAATTCGCTCCATCGCTGCATGACGTCCGATTTTTCTGAGAGGACGTCATTAGTTCTCGAAAGCACTTTGTTCATTCTCAAGGCCGTCGCACCACTTCGGATCCTTCCAACCTCTTTCCAGAAGAGTTTGGAGTTCTCCTTAAAGTTGTGTGACAACCTTTCGTCTGCTTCCATTCTACACCTTTCACGCACTTCCTCAATCAGTGCTTTCGTGTGAACTTTCTGCAGCCTATATCTTACTTTCATCTTCTCTCTCATATCCTTATCATTACTAGAGGCCAAGTAGTCTAACCATGCTTTCTTCTTCTTCTTTACAGCTTCTTTCACTTCATCATTCCACCATGCATCTCTTCTTTTACTACTGCCTCTTTTTATTGTTCCACACACTTCTTCCGCTGCACTTACCATTCTATCCCTAAGGTTCTGCCATGTTCTTTCTACACATTCGTTTCTGCCATCGATGGTGTCAAGCTTTTCGGCTACCCTCGCATGATATTTGTCCCTAGTATCCGCTTCCTGAAGCTTCCAGCTTCGGATGCGACAGACCGACTGTGGTTCTGTTACTGCCGTCCGGTATCGCCAACCCGCGAACAGACCCCTAAATCTAGTAATCACTAGATAGTGATCCGTTCCCAGGTCAGCACCCCTGAACACTCGCGTATCCATCACCTGTTTTCGCAGTCGGTCATCCACCAGGAACAAATCGATCATACTTCTCTCATTCTTTCGTTCTCTAGTATACATATGGATTTTCTTGTGATTAAACATAGTGTTTGTCACAAGAAGACCCTTTTCCTTGCACACCGCCAGTATAAGCTTGTCAGCATCATTAACCCTTTTATCGCCAAACTTTCCAAGTACCGACTCGTACCCTGGTCGAGCGGTACCAACCCATCCATTCAAATCACCACATACAACAATTCTTTCGTTTCCCCTAGCCAAATCTAGAACTTCTCTTACATTCTCCCAAAACTCCTCCAGCTCAGCCCTGGACGACGAAGCTACCGGTGCATAAACAGCCAAAAGGAATAACTTCGTCAGTCCCAATTTAAAGCGAACCCAGAGAAGTCTTGAGTTCACAACCTTATATTCAGTCATAACATCGACCAACCGAGAAGACAGCAGCACCCCCACTCCCTGGCAGGCGTTCTCGCTCTCCGGGACTCCGGACCATAGAGCTAACGCCCCGCCAGTGAGCTCTTCAGTACCACTGCCCTTCCGTTTGGTCTCCGACATAGACACGACATCTAATTCTCTTTCTTTCATTATTTCGATCAACTCATTCGTCTTATCTCGCATGCCTCCTCTAACATTCCACGTGCCAACTCTGCACTCTGTCCTCCACCTTCCGCCGTGTCGGGCTGTGCGTGACGGGTGGCGGTCCCCATCGCCGCTTTGCGCGCTGCATTCCACACCAACGGGGACGAGTTGGTGTGCGTCGCCTTGGGGGGACGCCCTAACCCTCGTTGGCATGGGTGCGCAGCTAAGTAGAATTGCAGCCCTGAAAAGGGCTGGCAGGGGTCGCGACGAGCACGCTTCTACAATGACCCCCGAAATAATAGTTTAAAAAAACTAAAAAAACACGCTTTTGTAGATAACCGAACTATCAGGTAGAAAATAATTTTCAATAAGGTTGAAATAAGAAAATAGTGATTAACATAAAAAAATCATTTTATTGTAAAAAAGCGTGGGGTGCTTTTTCAGATATTTTTTTGATGCTTATTTTACAAATATCCACCAAAAATATTTACAACAAATGACATCAAGCACCCTATGCCTTTGTAACACATGCACGGCCTAAAAAAACAACAACCTCATCACCTCAGTGTTTCATACTGGTTCTTCTCTGTAAAGGTCTTGTTCTTGTGAACCGGTGTAGATAATGACGTTTATGAGAACATTAAAACAGTTTTAACAGTGGTAGAGCTACGCGGCAGCTTTTGCTGTCGCACGGATGGGCCGGCTCGAACCGCGGTGGTACCTCGACCTCACAGAATACCAGCGTGAAGTAGAGGTTTACCTCTGCATTTCGCTTGGTGAGTGCAGGTGGCTGGAGGCCCTTTTTACTGGAAATGAGGCATTCCATCTTAGTCCTCACGGGTGACAACTGACAACGCACCTGCTTTTGATTTCTAATAGAGGATAGATGTAGATGTCTATGGGCCGCAGCAACCACTTACCATCAGGTGGACTGTGTGCTCGTTTGTCACCCTTATACTATTAAAAAAAAAGCCTAAATTAAATAAAAAGTATTGACTTTGACTTTGAAAGAAGAGGAGTATGGTATGGTATTTAAAAAAAAATATGCGCCAGGTGGTCCATGTGCGGTGTTCAGTGTGCAGTGTACATTGTGCAATGTGCAGCGTGCTGTGTACAGCGTGCACCGTTCAGCGTGCAGTGTGCAGTGATCTGTGTGCAGCGTTCAGTGTGCAGCGTGCAGTGCGCAGTGTACAGCGTGCAGCGAGTAGTGTTCTGTGTGTAGTGTTCAGTGTGCAGTGTACAGCATGTAGCATAGAACGTGCAGTGCTCTGTGTGCAGTGTTCAGTGTGCAGTGTACAGCATGTAGCATAGAACGTGCAGTGCTCTGTGTGCAGTGTTCAGTGTGCGGTGTACATTGTGCAACGTGCAGCGTGTACCGATGAGCTGTGTGCGGAAGTAGTCCCAGAGCGGCAGGCGCCAGGGCCGGTCGCCCGCCGCCGCGCCGGCGGCGCGCAGCGCGCTCCACGTCTCCTCGCCGCTGCTGAAGCAGCCGTAAGCACCGCCACCTGTGGCCAGCAGTATCCCACCTGCACAACCACACATATACTTTAACTTATTTGCTCGTGGTAGAACCATGCTGCAGTTATATTACAGTTGTAGTACGAATGGGTCAGTTCGACCGGGGTAGGACCACTCTTACAGAATACCAGTGTAAAATAGCAGCTTATTGCTGCTATGTTTCGTATGGTGAGTATAGAGAATCGAAGACCCTTTTTTACTGGAAATAAGGCATTCTTTCTTAGTCTTCAGGAGTACAACGCAACGCATTTTGATTCTTAATCGAGGTTAAATGTAGAATTTTATGGGCCACAGCATCTATTTACCATCAGATGGACTGTGTGTTCCTTCATCATCTTTAAAAAAGTAACTTTCTTGTACTCATATTAACGTGTGCAGTGTACACTTTGTGAACTCTAATATCTCCCACTAAACCTCCAAACCTATTATATTTTCGCAGTCATTGATACTTGGAACATACGAGTACATAATACGAATACGCACGAGTAAGCGTAGCGACATCGACGACGAGTGAGGGTTTGTACATGGCCTGCCCGTACACCAGCGCGTCCGCAAGCATCAAGCGTCCTTCCATGTCAGTGTCCTCGATCTGTAATGAAATTTGCTAACAATCATGAACTTAACAAAGGCCTTATAGACAGTCAATCATCAGATTATAATTAGAGATGTACCGACTACTTAGTCGCCGACTAGTCAGAAAAGCCAACTGTCCGGCATTATTTGTAGTCGCCGATTAGTCGGCCTATTATATTAATTATTTATATTTCAAATAAATTTAATAATCTGTAGGATAATTTAAATAAAATCTTAACCTTAATAACAATGAATTATTAACAAATAATTTTTATTTTAGATTCAGTCTTACAGTTTGTAATATATTAATGACAGCTTTTATAGATAATCAATGATTAGAAATTTTCCTTTAGAAAATAATTGGTCTTAAATCAAGAATGTCTTCTTGATTTAAGACCAATTAGTTTTAATTTATTAAGACCAAATATTAATTATGATTAACAAAAGTAGATTCTAAACGCGAGTGTTACATAATAAAAACTCTTAGGTAATAAACAACAATGACATTTAAGTCGCGTATCAATTATGCGCTCCAAAAGGTCGAACAACAGCGCGCGTTCTAGCCGCGCGAAATGGAACGCCCACCAAATTATGCATTGGAGCTGTCAAATGTGGAGCGGGCCGTTCCATCTGGTGTCGGTTTTTTACCGCGTATCAAAGTAGTTAAATTTTGGCGCGCGCGCCAATTGATATGGTTGTTTTCATTATTCGTGTGTTCGTTGCGTTCCGAGCTAAGGACAACCAGAGTACAAAATAACTGCTTTGGAAAATTTGGAATAGCAAAAGTCATTTTTATCATAATAAAGCGCTCAGAGAAGTTGCATGGAACTATGAAAGAGGCAGTTGTTTGTACACGATCGACATCCATGTTGAACGGTCATACACTGGAACGGCTGCCGCGCGTGCCATGCGCGCTTAGTTGATACAATCGGAACATTTGGAGCGTGTTCCGCGGAACGCACTGGTCAGCGCAGTCTTTCATGGCGCGCGCGCCAGGAGTGCATAGAAGTATAAATCTAGGAGTAGTAAGAATTAAAATGTTTACATTTTGCAGTTTACAGCAATAATAACAAATTTGATAATTAGATTAAAAATGTAAGTAATTTAACTAGGGTAATAATTTAAAATTAAAAATTTTGAACAGCCGACTTCAATATAAGTTATTAAGAATAACTCAAAAAATATTGGTCCCATATCAAATTCATATTGGACCACATGAAAAGTACCAGCTTTCAAATAAAAAAAGAATCATCGAAATTGGTTCACCCAGTAAAAAGTTATGATACGCATAAAAAAACATACAGTCGAATTGAGTACCGTCTCCTTTTTGGAAGTCGGCAGAAAATGGTGATGTATAAAGATACGTTAAAAAAAATATTTATAACATTTTATTGGAGGCAATTTATGGTGTAAAACACCAGAGACTGCCCTTTTGTTCAATGTCCTAATCTATCCCTTATAGTTTCTGTACACGCCCCTAGCTGCCCCAACCAAAGAGTGACGGGATTAGGGCCCATGAGTAATCCCATCGACGAGCAGCAGAGGGACGGGGCCGGAATATGGCCACGTGGAATCTCTCGAATTACACTAAAATATATGGGGGAGCGTTCTATACTACGGCCAGTCGACCGGCAGAGGAATTAGGCGGAGCTTACTTACCTATATCCAAGGTCAGGTCACATGTGGTTGTGTAGTGAAAGGGAAATAAGTGATGTGATGTGTATCTGGGTGTGACTGATGGTGATTGAACCTACACCTTGGCCGTCGGCAGCAGCCCGAGCGTCGACACCGCTCCAACTTGAGGAGGCCTTTCGAGGTTGTCCACAGTTACTTTCTTCTTTCGTCACGTTGACAGTCAATTAACTCTATCGTACGATTAACTAACTTACAGAAGCCACTAACTATCGCTGGGTATAAGGTTAACGCACAAACGCACACGGAGTTTAAAGGTCACGGCCGCTTCGCGTAGCAACAGTTAGTTCTAGAATATCAGAGGCCGAACTAGCTAATATTGTCGAATGCACTTATACAGATTCTGAGTCGGACCCAATAAGTCCCGGGAAAGGCTATCCAAACAGGGAATGCGCGTTATAATTCCTAGACAGGATATTTACTAGACGCCCTAACTATTCCGCGGTTCCCGCACAAAATTAACAGCGTGCAGACATTAGCACATCTGGCAGACGACTGCTGCGCTTGCGACCCGCGCGCCACTTGCCACGCTCGGCCGAACTTCAAACCGGTATCGCCGAGCTGCGCGCCCTCTAACGTCCATCCCGAAATCAGCGTTCGGGCGTAAACAGTTTCGTATATATTGCCAGCTTCGGAGAAGAGTCTCTCGCTGTACACAGAGCTAGCTGGACAACATGAGTTACATTTTAGAAAGACGCGACATTTCACGATATATTGATCTGTTACGACTCCGCCACTCAACTGAGCTGACAAAAAAGCGCCATGAGGAATACCGATACCACTCGAACTCCGCCGAAAGCAATGATCGGTTTGGCCGAACATCGGCGTTTTTTCAACCGACTAATCGGCCCATCTCTAATTATAATTCATAATGAGACCTAAACTGTTGAGTGGAAATTGAAGATTTCAGTCAATATATTAAGTTATTTAAATCGCACATATTTCGAAACAATACAGGTTGTAGCAATTCTAGTTAAATTTTAAATATAAAGAGTTGCACAAGGGAGCATATTGTTTCCAATACTTTTTCCTTGTTCATATATACGACATCAATTATATTATATGTCAGTGATATTAAACTTTGTAGTAATAATATGTGCCTTCTGTGCCCACTTCATTATCAAGTAGGTTTCCTGAAGATATTTTCCTTCATAGTAAAATAAATAATTAATTAAATTTACATACAAATCAAATGAAATACCAAGCAAAGGAAACATAAACACAAAAATAATGTGATCTTGTACTGCATCACCTTCGATTTTGACGAATACTAAAGGCGTAGGGTGGATGATCTCTTTGTTGCACAAATTATGGTTCCATGGTAGAAGTGGATGTGGAATGTATTCCTAAAAATTTTTTTCTCTTAATTGTATTTATGACTTGACTTGGCAATTTTGTTTTAAAATCTTTTACTGATTCCTTACAAGTATGGAGGTTAAAGATGTTGTTGTAGTTAATCTATTTCTTAGTTAATGCTAAATACGCACTTAAAAGCGCCGTTTCCCTGACATACCAACTACGAGAAACACAAGTTTATGAATAAAAACAATTTCCTGTTACCTGTATAGTGGTACCATTGAGAGCGCGTACCACATCCCCGACTTTCATACACTGACCGCTGATTAAGTTTTCGCATAATGGTATCACTGCGCGGATATTTATGGGCACCTAAAACATGGATAATATTTTATTCACATTTATTTAATGAATGCTCAATACATTAACACTTTCACTGTCCGGTTTTCAGACACGATAGTAAGACAATAGCAATGACCGATATGTAATACACAGGACAGCGAAAGAGTTACTGTTTATGTGGTGGTAACACAAATTAAAAAACTATTTATTTTGTGGTAATGGCAGTGGTATAGCAAGTGTGGAGCCGAAGGACCATAGTCCAAGGCTGCAACCACTATGGGGCGGCGATATTGGAATATTGGCGATATTGGCGGTGTTACTGTGGTAGATTTTTATACGAATCGCGAGGTGTGAATGCATTCGATAGTCAACAATGCGTAAGAATTTTTTCATTCCTTTCGGCCTTTTCCATTTTATCTTCATAAACCGAGTAGAATAAAAACAAAACGGGGGACACATATTCTAGATGAGATATGACCAATGACTGACAAAGGCAGACAAGATTATCTTTGCGTTTAAATGATGTTGTTATACGTGTGACGAAGCCTAGCATTCGGTAGGATTTATTTAATATTTCTTCGATGTTCATATCTAGTGTGAGTTTCGTATCTAGATATACTCTAAGATAGCGTATACTAGATTCTGAAACGATTTTATGACTACCTAAGTAAAAGCCCGCGTGTACTACATTTTTGTTACTAGTATATGTTATGTGTAATGCATTTATTATAAGCCAAGAATAATTTATTAATTTTACAATAATTTTCAAGTCTGTCTAAGTCGTTCTGTATTAATTTTTTGTCGTCAGATTTAGTAACAGCGGAGTACAATTTTGAGTCATCAGCGTATAAAAAAAATTACAGTGGTCAAAGTAAGTTCAAATGTCATTAATAAATAGGATAAAGAGGAGTGGCCCCAGTATCGATCCGCCAGATGTAACTACAACGGGTGAGAAAATGTAGCCATTAAGGCTGGGTGTTCCAAGCGCCTTAAGTATTTACAAGGGTTGTGGCAAAGATCGAGTCTGGCCGCGCATATTTTTTTTATAGAATAAGGGTGACAAACGAGCACACAGTCCCCCTGATGGTAAGTGGTTACTGTGGCCCATAGACATCTACAACTATCTTCGTTTGCGAATTAAAATGCAGATGCTTTGTCAGCTGTGAGGACTAAGATAGATTGCCTCTTTTCCAATAAAAAGGGTCTCTGGTTCTCTACACTCACCATACGAAACACAGCAGCACTAAGCTGCTATTTTACGCTGGTATTCTGTGAGAGCGTGGTCTTTCCCCGGTCGAGCCGAACCATTCGTGCTACAACCATACTATTAATATAGCTGCAGCAGGCTCTACCACGCATATGATCGTCATTTTACAAAATAATCACAAAAATATAGTTTTAAAGTTGTAAACAAATATTTAAACAATAAGAAATAAACACACAAACAAAAGCTTAACTGTAGTCTATATAAGTTCCATAAAATTATAGTTATTCACAATTAATTTTATTTCCGAAATAGTATTTACGTAGCAGAAGAGAAGTGCGCGCGCGTAAATTTGGCACAGGTCTTACCTCGGCAACGTCTCGCGGGACATTATGGATATGGTCTACGGCTGCGGACTGCGGGACACTGGCAAGTAGCAAACGACGAACGTTTTTTTTTTTAATAAATACAATGAAAAAAAAACGATCGGATGGAATTGATTCCAAAATAAATTACTTATAAATTGATATTTTTTTACAGAAAAAACGAGTATTAGTACTTGTTTAGAATGAAATTTGATTTGTAAAGAAACTGCAAATCGAACGTAGTTCGGTAATTTTTTCTATCGAGAAAATTGAATTGTATCGTGTATTGAACGAGTACATCGTAAGGAGAAAGTATCTAATATATATACTTTCATATTCTGCGTGTAATAATTTGGATATCAAAAACCAATTTTAAAACGGACAAAAACAAGAACACCCAGCCTTAAGGACTAGCGACTGTATGCGTTTTTGTAAGTAAGAAGCAAATCAATGTAAAACGTAGTAGAAGAACCTTTCATACCATTGTAGGATTTTTTAAAGTAAATAAAATGATCAACTTTATCTTTATACAGTTTCAATCTAAATCTAAACTGCCTCATAGGGTGGATATTTGCCATAGTTGGCAAGCGGGTTGGCAACCGAAGTTTTTTTCATTTTTAATCGTTATCAGGAATGCCTATCTCCTGTTTGTTTCACTCAGTCGCCTTTTACAACACCCATGGGATGATACGGGTTAGTGTATATTCTTACATCGCCAGTGCACGGTAAGTATTCATATACAAACTTAATACCGAAGTAAATCACCTTAAGTTCTGCGATGGCTCTTATAGCGCCGAGGACTACAGCAGCACCCGCCATGCTGCCGCGGTTTTCCCGCATGTGGTCCGCATGCTTCAGGCACAACCCGCCACTGTGGATTGCTCACTTTTGAATACTATTATTTAAAAAACGTTACCCACACACTAGGATTTTCTCCCGTATCGTGGAGACTGTTTACAAACATGAATTGCACAAGGACAAACATCCAGACCCGGAACAGTAATAGCAGACCATAAAAATACTTGTCCCGTGCGGGATTCAAACTCACGGCCTTTAATAGCGCTGCAACTCATTGCTAAGCCACTGTGCCACGGTGTCGTCAAAAACTTTAAAACAAGTAACATGAAATAACAGTAATGGCAAATCTAACGTGGTAGGGCCACGCTGCAGGTAAATTATGTTTGTGGCGCAAATGGGTCGGCTCGGCCGGGGAAGATTTTTCTGATCTTAAATTTAAATAACGCCACATTAATAGATTCTACCCAGGCGTAGCTAGTCTTTTATGCTGTTGGAACTACCGCGCGCGAGAACCAACCTATTACGTGAAGCGCCAGTCACCCGCGCACTACGTACGCTCAGTGCGGTGGCTGAGCGAATTGATTTATTCGAATGTTCTCTGAACGAGTTCGCAAAGGCTACCTTGTTATTTCTATGTTTTAGTTTATAAAATTATTATATCTAACATAACAAAAGTATGACTTACCTATCGTATTAGGGCAATCCTGTAATGATAGTAATAAGTGGATATATACCTAACAAATAAATAAATAATATAATGGATTTCTACAACGCCTGATTCTATTCGTTATCGTTCAGGAGTTTTACACTTAAAAGTGACTCGCTTGACGGTGAACAGCACTGGTGGGCGTTCCTGTAAACACCCACTGTAGGCCAGCTCCATCAGCACTGGTGAAGAGACTAAAGAGTGTTATCAGTCGAAGGTGGCCCTCTTAGTGTCGAGCAGCACTGGTACGGTGCCTCTGTAGGCCAACTCCAGAGCACTGGAGAATAGACTTGTTACACTGTCTACAAACACTACATAGCAAAATTACCAGTCGAAGGTGAACCACTTGGCGGTGAGCGGTACGGGCGTGTACGCTGTACAGTGGCACTATAGGCCAACTCAAGCAGCACAGGTCAATAGACTAGCTGTTACCAGTCAAAGTGTCTTGGCACCTTGGCAGCGAGCAGGACTGATGGGCGGTCCTACAAAGTGACGCTGTAGGCCATCTTTTTTTTTATAGGATAAGGGTGACAAACGAGCACACAGTCCACTTGATGGTAAGTGGTTGCTGCGGCCCATAGACATCTACATCTATCCTCGTTTACGAATCAAAATGCAGATGCGTTGTCACCCGTGAGGACTAAGATAGAATGCCTCATTTCCAGTAAAAAGGGCTTTCGGCCACCTGCACTCACCAAGCGAAACGCAGAGGTAAACCTCTACTTCACGCTGGTATTCTGTGAGGTCGTGGTACCACCCCGGTTCGAGCCGGCCCATCCGTGCGACAGTAAAAGCTGCCGCGTGGCTCTACCACTGTTAAAATCTTCAGCAGCACTGGTAAATAGACTACAGAAATAGACTACACGTGTTTCGCCTCTAAGCGAGGCATCATCAGGGGAAACAGACTTTGCGATGACTGACAGCGACCGCTGAGATGTATTATCGACGGTGGAACGGTGGTGAATCTTTTCTAGTGTAGTGCGGTTGGGATTAGTGGTGACGGAGATATAGCACGCAATTGAGTTACTTAGGTGAGCTACTTAAGTCACATTACTTTTTTTTTTTTTTTACGAAAATTTTAGCTAATTAATTTTTAATTTTACCTTAACATAATGGATTTCCGCAAAGAAACTCCTGCTTATATTCATTTTTTTTTAAAGTTACCTCCACACTAGGATTTTCTCCTGTATCGTGGGGGCAGTTTATATACATAAATTTCACAAGGACAAACATTCAGACCCGGAACAATTATTTGTAGGCTATACAAATAGTTCGAACCCGCGGCCCTTAGCGCTATAACTGATTGTTAAGCCACTGCACCACGGAGTCGTCAAGTCTACCCCAATATAGTAGCGCGTGTTACCAATCAAAGGTGACCCCCTTGGCAGCGAGCAGTACGGGCGGGCGGCCTTGCGAAGTGCCACTGTAGGCTAGCTCCAGAAACACTGGTGGCTCGCAAGAGCCCCGCGCGACGTGCAGGAAGGCGTGCATGCGCTGCGCCTCCACCCACTCGCGCTCGCGCGCCCACACCTGCACGCCCAGCGGACACAGCACGTCCAGCGCCGCCTACAGTACACGATGTTATACATAATATGAAAAAATATTTTATACACAGCAGAGCCACGCTGCAGCTATATTAGTCGTAGCACGAATGGGTCCGATCGACCGGGATAGGCTCTCACACTCTCACAGAATACCAGCGTAACTAGCAGCTGAATGCTGTTGTGTTTCATATGGTGAGTGTAGAGAACCGGAGCTCCTTTTTACTGGAAACAAGACATTCCATCTTAGTCCTCAGGACTGTCAACGCAACTGTATTTTGATTCTTAATCGAGAATAAATGTATATGTCTATGGGCCAGAGCATCCACTTACCATTAGGTGGACTGTGTACGATTGTCACTCTTATATATAAAAAAGGATACAGTGCAGCTTTAGGCTCCGCTTACATTTATATAACATAGAGCATAATTAGGCCCAAACCAGGACCGTCTCGTCGAATAAAATTAATAGGGTGACCATAGTATGTAATGTCTAGGCTGTTAACTGAAAGCCTAACTAAGCTAGTTGACTACGACATATACATAAATTACATTTTATTTATTGCCTTTCTCATCCTAAAAATAATCCTGCCAGGGACTATAATGTTAGTACTGTGACTATAGCTATAACACACATTATAAACATATAGGAAGTCCCAGAACTCAACGTCACGACGAAACTGGGTGACAGGATTGATTGTAACCATCATGAGAAAAATCAGAAAAAAATATCTATCCCATCCAGTTCGGAAATTATGGGCATTTAAGAAAAATCTAGAAATTTGGTCAAACTGTAACCTGTCAAACTGTAAGGTGTCAGACGCATCTCCGTCTCACTGCGTGGCGTCACTATCTGTCTCGGTCGCTCATGGCAAACATGTCCACTATCCATCTCTCTCATCATTTTGCCGTAAAATTAATAACCTACCAAGAGCTTGTGCGAATAAAAAACATTTGAACTGAGTAAAATGGGTTAGCAAAAATCGGGCTACTCGAGGTTTTTATTTTTTTACTAGTTTTTTTTTTTAGTATGAAACCATCGATCACTAATAAAAAATAGTGATCGATGTATGAAACTAACAAGTATTGTACCATTTTACAATCCTGATTAAATGCGCGAACTTTTAATGACACTTGCCAAGGCACTTTAGTACATTTTTTTTAAAGGAGGGCCTATCAAAGTCGACAAATTTAGAAAATTTTAGATTCATAGTTTAACAAATAGTCTTAATTCTAGAAAACTTGGGGCAGTTGTGTCATTATTTTTGGCTGTGGTTCTAGGAATGTTATTTAGGGTTACGGTTCCATAGTTTAAATGAACAAAAATAATAAAAATTACCTCAAAAACCGAAAAATGGTTACAGTTTGACCAAATTTCTAGGTTTTTTTTTTATAGAATAGGGGGCAAACGAGCATGCGGCTCACCTGATGGTAAGTGACTACCGCCGCCGATGAACAACCGCAACACCAGGGGAATTGCAGATGCTTTGCCGGCCTTTTAGAAAGGTGTAAGCTCTTTTCTTGAAGGTTTCTAAGTCGTATCGGTCCGGAAAATTCGCTAGTGGTAATTGATTCCACAAGTAAGATGTGCGAGGGAGAAAACTTCTTCTAAATCGCACAGTGGTGGACTGCCAATCATCCAGATGGTATAGATGGTAACGCGAGTTTTGTCGCGATGTGCGATGGTGAAATTGAGCGGCTGGAATTAGTACGAACAATTCCTCAGAGCACTCCCCGTGATAGATGCGATAAAATACGCAATGAGATGCAACATCTCTACGCAGTGCCAGTGTATCGAGCCGATCAGAAAGAACTCGGTCGAAGACGATTCGAACCGCTCTGCGCTGGATGCAGTCAAGTGGAAGGAGCTGGCACTGGGGTGCCCCGGCCCAGAGATGAGAACAGTATTCCCTGTGAGGCCGAACTTGCGCTTTGTAAAGTTGCAAGCGATGTGCCGGCATGAAATACTGTCTCGCTCTGCTGAGCACGCCAAGCTTTTTAGAGGCCAATTTGGCCTTCCCTTCCAAGTGACCACGAAACTGCACACTATTCGATATGTCGACGCCAAGGATTCCGATACTGTCTGAGGCAGCAAGGGGAGTGCCTTGAAACTGAGGAGATACGACAAAGGGGTTCTTTTTGCCGGTAAACGCACAAACTTGTGTCTTCTGGGGATTGAACTGGACTAGATTTAGTCGGCCCCAATCCGAGACTTTGTTAAGCAAAGACTCGACTTCAGACACAAGTTTGTCCCGGTACTCGGCGACGTTTTTCTTAAATGCCCATAATTTCCAAACTGGATGGGATAGATTTTTTTTCTGATTTTTCTCATGATGGTTACAATCAATCTTGTCACCCCGCTTCGGCTTGACGTTGAGTTCTGGGACAGTCTGTAACTGCAGGTTAATGATTTTAAAGAAAATATTTTAGCTGTAATTTATATCTTAAACGACATGTAGCGTCTGTTTGAGTTTGGTGAGACTTTTGTCAAACCACATATTGAAATTCTTTAGATTTACTTGCCTCTACAGACGAAAGCATTCACCAACCTGCGCGACATCGACAGGTGTCATCTTGTTGGCCGGCATGTCGGACAAATAACGGGCCCAATTTTGCGCGCGACCCATTATTACCCCTTTGGTCCACAGCTGGGCACTGGGGTCGGCTGCCATCTCAGCCGATTGTTGACTGTCTGTCGGGCTAGCTTCGCCCTTTTGGGCATTATACATCGATATACTTGGCGTAGTTTGTCGGCATGAACTCGATTTAAAGTCTTCAAATCTGGAAAACAGGTTGTCTGAAAGTTGGAGTCTCAAAGCAAAATGTTTGTAAGTTTGTCATTACTCTATGTAGTCGTTTCATATAGAATTATTGGGACAAGCGAGCACACAGTCCACCTGATGGTAAGTGGTTACTGTGACCCATAGACATCTACATCTATCCTCAATAAAGAATCAAGATGCAGATGCGTTGTCACCCGTGAGGAGTAAGATAGAATGCCTCTTTGCCAGTAAAAAGGGTCTCCGGTTCTCTACACTCACCATACGAAACACAGCAGCGTTCAGACTGTGTGCTCGTTTGTCACCCTATCCTATAAAAAAAACAACGGACACCTAGGCGGAAAGAGTTCACCTAGTACAACTGTAAGCTTCTCTGAAGGATATCATGATGAACTTATCTGTGATTTCTTCTTTTCTACCGTCTTCAAAGAGGACTCAATTCGACTGTATGTTATTTTTTATGTGTGTTACTGTTACCTCATAACTTTTTTCTACATGAACCGATTTCGATGGTTCTTTTTTCATTTGAAAGCTAGTGCGTCTCATGCGGTCCCATAGAAATTGATCAAGGTCTGACTAATAGTTTTTGAGTTATCCTTAATAATATATATTGAAGTCAGTTGTACGAAATTTTGAATTTTAAATTATTTATTATCAGCCCGTAAAACAACATCCACTAAGAACCCCTTTGTCGTATATCTTCAATTTCAAGCCTCAGCCAGCATCGGAATCCTCGGTGACATTTTGAATGATGTGCAGTATCGTAGTCACTTGGAAGGGGTGGCTAAATTGGACTCTAAAAAGCTTGGCATGCTCAGCAGAGCGGGACAGTATTTCACGCCGGCATACCGCTTGCAAAGTTGAAAGGCGCAAGTTCGGTCTCACATGGAATACTGTTCTCATCTCTGGGCCGGATCCCCAGTGCCAGCTCTTTTCACTTGACCGCATCCAATGCAGAGCGGCTCGAATCGTCTACGACGGAGTTTTTTCTGATCGGCTCGATTCACTGGCGCATGGCGCTGCGAAGGGATGTCGCATCCATTTGCATTTTCTATCGCATCTCACACAGGGAGTGCTCTGAGGAATTGTTCGGATTAATTCCACTGGCCAAATTTCACGAACACACAATACCATCAAATTCACGTTACCATCCACACCATCTGGATGCATGGCGGTCTACCACTGTGCGTCTTATATATAAGCTGTTGTCGAGATAAAGAAATCACCCGTGCGAAACCGGGCTGGATCGATAGTTTCTGAATAAAGCGAACAATTATGGTTCAATTCCGTTTCTGTTTACCTCCAGCTGGCCAGCTCTGCGGCCTCAGCGGCAGCGTCAGGTGCAGCAGATGGGTCTACGAGAAGCTGCGAGCATCCGCGCCGCCGCAACTCTGTTACGCCGGCACCCACGCCCCAACGGACATTCTCCTATGCAAACACACGTATTATACTGCAACACCACTGCAGCATGAAGTACACACACATATAACACTGCATCATGCTGTTCTATGAGCGTATGTATGTGCCGTAGCCAACTATAACTTAATAAGCCCTTCAGTTAAAAGTCTAGCCTTTTTACTAAACGGTGTCGTTTAACTGGCGGCCTGAATGATATTAAGCCTTTGAGTCTTATACAACATTGCATATATCTTGTAATATCAGCGATAGTGGGTAAAATAGCAGCTGGGGTAGCGCTTGGGCCACCTTAAAGCCGCGTACATTTATATAATATAGCACATAGCGAGCGTCTCGTTGAATGCAATGAATAGGGTGACCATGCCATCTACTGTCTAGGCTGTTAATTGAAAGGCTGATTAAGCTAGTTGGCTGCGACATTTGCAGCATGAAAGACCAGCTCGACAGAAATATGACCATGCTCTCAAAGGATAATATGTAAAATAGTAGCATATCGTTTGTCACCATTTATACATTTTATTCATTCAATACAGCCCCTCGAAATTCACTGCTTAACATAGGTCTTCCTCATAGACTGCCTCATAGGGGGGGGGGGATATTTGCCATAATTGTCTATGTAGGCATGTCGCCTCTGACGTCACCCACGGGACGATATAGGGTAATTGATATTCTTACACCACCCCTATACGGCCAGGTAATAACAACAGGAGAATCTTATTGGAAACGAGGCATTTCATCTTAGTCTTAGGGTATATATGGATAGATGTAAATGTCTATGGGCCGCAGCAGTTACCATCAGATGAACTGTGTGCTCTTTTCTCATTCATTCCTTCATACAAAAGTCCACTGCTGGACACAGACCTGCTTCATAGATTCCAACACAGGAAGGATATTTGGCGTAGTTTCCACGCTAGTTTAACTCAGGTCGGTTGGCAACCGCAGTTTTTATTTACTATTTAATTTCTGATTAAGTTGTCACCAGGAAGATGCTGATGCTTATGGTCTGTTTCGTTTTCCTTCTGTTGCTTCTTACTGACTTAGGGTATTGGATTCTCTTACTCCACCGCTATACGTCTTCCTCGTTTTACCACCTTTTTGTACAAAAACACACACCAGTGCAGTGTCACATTATTTTTTTCTTTATATCAAAAATAAAGTTACTCCCACACAAGGATTTTCTCCTGCATCGTGGAGGCAGTTTACATACATAAATTTCACAAGGGCAAACAAAACAGACCCGGAACAATTATTTGTTGGCCATACAAATACTTGTTCCGTGCGGGATTCCAACCCGCGGCACTGAGCCATACACTGCGCCACGGGGCCATCATATTGACTGACAAATGATTTTGACTAATTGGAATTTTTAATATTTTAACTGAAAATGTCGGGATTTATTTGATATTCACACTATAATAAAATAATATTTTAATTATTACATTTTGTTTTAAAAGTAATAATCATCATTATCCTTAACAGTCCTAGGAGTCCAAGCATGCGCTGGTAATGCTCACCACCACATAGCTGGTGCTGAGTGAAAAGCCGATACCCTCATACTCGTTATTCTGCCCATCATCAGTTACGCTACCCACGGGACCATATGTAGTAGATATTCTTACACCACCACTACATGTTGAGGTGTTCCATCTTAGTTTTTTTTTTTATAGGATAGGGTGACAAACGAGTACACAGTCCACCTGATGGTAAGTGGTTGCTGTGACACATATCCATATCCACAATAAAGAATCAGAATGCAGATGTGTGGTCACCCGTGAGGACTAAGATGGAATACCTCTTTTCCAGTAAAAAGGGTCTCTGGTTCTCTACACTCACCATACGAAACACAGCAGTGTTAAGCTGTTATTTTACGCTGGTATTCTGTGAGAGCGTGGTCCTTCCCTGTTCGAGCCGACCCATTCGTGCTACAGCTATACTACTAATATAGCTGCAGCATGGCTCGGCCACGTGTTAGTGGAAGTGACACTGCATCTGAGCCTTCATTACTTAAAGTTGTTTGCAGGTATCCGTGGGTTGCAGTAGCCACTTACCCACCCGTACCCCCCTGGTAATAATAAAAGTACTAACTCGATCCTCTTCAAGCTCCTCCAGTTTATTATAACCAGCATCTCTGCGCCCAAATGACGCTAAAGCCACATCCCCGAGCTCGGGGTCCACGTCGGTGACCACAAACGCCTTGCCCAGCTTCAGTTGGCAAGACAGACTGTAACAGAGGCATCATTTTATAACTTGACTTTGATGATATGTGAGCTACTTTGACGTGTGATGCCACCGTAAAAAATTCGTCCCGTGAGTTTTTTTTTTGTAGATTAAGGGTGACAAGCGAACACACAGTCCACTTGATGGTGAATGAATGATGTGACCCATCTACATCTATCCCCAATTAAGAATCAAAATTCAGATGCGTTGTCACCCCTGAGGACCAAGATGTAACGCCTCGCCTCCAGTAAAAAGGGTCTCCGGTTCTCTACACTCACTATACGAAAGCAGCATTAAGCTGCGATTCTACGCTGGTATTCTGTGAGAACGTGGTCCTACCCCAGTCAATAGATGCAGGTGGATCGAGACCGTGCTTGTGGCATTCCTTGGGGAAGACCTATTTTCAGCAGTAGACTTGTGAAGGTTTACAATCATTAAAGTTACACAGCAATTAACAATACAAAAAATTTAAATAGATTTTTGTAGTTTCTTCATTTCCATCATCCGTAAAGGTTCACTGTTAAACATAGACCCTTTTCGTAAGCGAAAACGTTTGTTATTATCGTATTGCAGCATCATCTTTCTGGCGTTTTCCTTATCCGCCTTTTACGATAACCACGCGACAGAATGGGGTGATGCATTATTACGTGGTAGATCCACGCTGCAGCTGTATTATGGAAGCAGCACGAATGAGTCGGATCGACCGGGGAAGGACCACGCTCTTACAGTATACCAGCGTTAACAGCAGAATAATGCTGTATTTCGTATGGTGAGTGTAGAGAACTGGAGACCCCCTTTCACTGGAAACGAAGTATTCCATATTAGTCCCTAGGGGTGACGACGCATTTTGATTCTTCATCGAGCTTAGATGTAGATGTCTATAGACCACAGTATACACTTACCATCAGGTGGACTCCCTTGTCACCATTATTCTAAATTAAACAAAAATCTTTTGAGCTTTATTTGAAGTGAGCTAATTGTATTTTGTAAAGCCTGAATCACTCACTCGTTTAGATATCGCGACAATTTGCCACCAGAGCGCTGGTTCACCTCTTCAGCGGCCGGTGTTAGTTCCAACTCTTTATCATTTTCATACACGCCCAATACTACACCTTTCTATAACAAAATAAAATAAAGAAAACAACTTTTAATTTAAAGTAAAACTTGACTTTGAGAACTAGAAAAATAAAATAATTCTTACAAGAAGTCTGTGCTGACTAGTGCTGATAGTATGTAGAAAAATTAAAGATTTTGTACAATCGACTTCAATATAAATTATTAAGAATAACTCAAAAACTATTGATCAGACCTTGATAAATATATTATTTATATGGGATCACATGAGAAGCTTTCAAATAAAAAAAGAATCATCGAAATCGATTCACCCAGAAAAAAGTTATGAGGTCACACAAATTAAAAAAAACCTACAGTCAAATTGAGTACCTCCTCCTTTTTGAAGTCTGTAGAAAATTAAAGTCCCGACTACAAAAGGTAATAAATACAAGGGGTAAAATTAAAATCGACTTTAATATAAATATAATTTATTGTTGATTTTTAAGCTTAAATAAAATTCGATGAAATTTGAATGGGACGTATACCTATTGAAACAAAAAAAATCCAAATCGGTTCAGGCGTCTTCGAGTAATCGGTGTACATAAATAAAAAGAGATTCCAACGAATTGTAAACCTCTCCTCCTTTTTGAAGTCGGTTGAAAACATTTTATTATTTTTATCCTTTTATGTGGACTCAAGTATATCACAAGTTCCAGGTAACAATTAGCATTTCGTCTAAATCAGTGGTTTTTAACGTATAGTGATGTTACCTTAGACCATATAAAAGTTTTAGACATAATATAAATTATAGTAATGATTTTTAAGTTTGTTCTATAAACCAACAAACTAAAATGAATGTGGCCATCGTTTCTTACATTTGTGAGAATTGTATGATGCCCTCACGGACTACTTTGGGTGCCTTTATGGACCACCACTGGTCTAAATAACATTAAAAACTTCTAGAAGAATTATATTTGTGGCGGCGCTGTCGTCGCGCCACAAGCGAAACACTTCAGTCTAAATTGCGCCATCAAAGCTCCGAACTACCACTCGGAGCTTGGTCGCTTCCCGGGCTGAACACCTTGCACGGCGGGAGATCTCAGAGTTCTCAGAGATCTCAACGGAGATTTAAAATTATATAATATTTTGTTCTGAATTACCGGTCTATTAATATATACATAGAAGTCTGACAAAAATAGGCTACGACATAAGACATAGAATGGTATCATGTGATTCATACGGTCGGTGAGCATCTGCCATAACTCTATAGCAATGATTAATGCCAAAAAATAACCAAACATTAAATACCTTATCACCATCAGGAATTTTGTTATCTTTGTTAAGCTCGGTTATGTTGTTACCGCATCCTTCCGTCTGATTCTGGTCTGACGCGTTATTTAGATATCTTACTGTTTTGTTACTTAAGCCCACACCCCTACGAAAAATTACAACACTCCGAAATAATTTAGAAAATCTCATTTTAGAAAAATCTAATAAAACTACAACATTAAACGTACAAACACAAAATAAATCATCAAAACTTGTCTCAGTATAATTCAACCAACTAGATTAAATAAAAACGTTAATATTTTATATTTTATTCTAAAGAACGTTTATCCTGTGGATATGCCAGTTCCATCATATCTTCCTTATATATACGGAAAATAAAGCAAAATTTATAATAAGTGCCGTGGTAGCTCAGATGGTTAGCGCTCGTTTTAAATTTCATAGTACGCGAGCAACCCGGATTCTATCCCCGCTGGCACCAATGATTGTTGTACACGCCCCTAGCTGCCCCAACCAAAGCGTGACGGGATTAGGGCCTATAAGTAATCCCATCGACGAGCAGCAGAGGGACGGGGCCAGAATATGGCCACGTGGAATTTCTCTAATTACACTAAACTATATGGGGGAGCGTTCTATACTACGGCCAGTCGACCGGGAGGATATTAGACGTAGCTTACTTACCTATATCCAAGGTGACTAGTCCCTCCGGAGTCGGTCAGGTCGCATGTGGTTGTGTAGTGCAAGGGAAATAAGGTGATGTGATGTGTATCTGGGTGTGACTGATGGTGATTGACCCTAGACCTTGGCCGTCGGCAGCAGCCCGGGCGTCGACACCGCTCCAAATTGAGGGAACCTTCCGCGGCGTGGTCCACAGTCACTTTCCTCGTTCGTCACGATGACAGTCCATTAACTCTATCGTACGATTAATTAACTTACAGAAGCCACTAACTCTCGTTTGTTATAAGGTTAACGCACAAAACGAACACGGAGGTCAAAGGTCACTACCGCTTCGCGTAGCAACAGTTATCTCTAGAATATCAAAGGCCGCACTAGCTAATATTGTCGAAGGCACTTATACAGATTCTGAGTCGGACCCAATAAGTCCCTGGGAAGCTCTCCAGCAGGAATGCGCGTCACAATAGTAGACCGTATAATTACTGGCCGCGCCTAATTATTCCGAGTTCCCGACAAAAATGACAGCGTGCTGTTCCAAGCACAGCTGACAGACGACTTCCTGCGCTTTTACGCGTTCTCAACCCCACCGCTCGAGCGACGTCAAAACCGGTATGGCACCGAGCGTCGCGCCCCCTAGACGTCGATTCCGACAACAGCGTTTGGCGCGAACAATCCCCCGTCCCGGACATAAGGATTTAGGTCCGCGAGCAAACCGGTCAGCGGGACAAGGTCGCGACGGCAAGTTGCAAGACCGAATCTTCAACCAAACTAGGACACCTTAGGCACCCCATCAGATCTTGCAACCCTAACCAACGCCTCAAATTACCGCCCCAACGTGGGCAAGCCGGAGGGTTGAACTGGATGCCCTTCCTGGACATCGCAGCCCATAAATAAGTCCTATTCTGGACAGAAGTCAGACGACCTCTTTCAAACAGCTATCTGTGCCCCTACGATTAGTTCCGCAATCCGACCGGATCAGGTCTGCAAAGAGCGACGCGACACGAAGCGGCCCAGAGCGCCCTCCTAAGCTTCAGTGCAGAGAGCACCCACAAATTCCACATGAACGTCGTCTGTGGAGAGCCGAACGAAGCGCACAGATAGTCCCTAGTATGAATTTTCAACAAGTAGGCCCAGCCAGGCCACCCACCATATTATCATTTACTAAAATAGTGCGGCAGCTGATTTCAATCTGATAATCTCCAAAACTAGCTAGCCTGTTAGACAAGCAGTCCTATGCTCATATTTCAACAAATTTTTCAAAGCATCAATGTTCAACTACAGAATCAATTTTTATCGTTACCCTACTACCCAACTATATAAAGACTGTGAGGTGCTTACAACCAGGCAACTCTACATACTTCAAATGATACTTCGTAGACATCGTTCAATTCCACTGGAACAGCGCGCACAGAAAGTAAGTCGAAGACTGGAATACCGGGTATGTGAGCACGTCCCCCACAGAACCGCTTTAGCTCGTAGACAATACTATGTCCGAAGTAGTCATGTGTACAATAGGATTAATAAAGAACTTAATATTTATAAAGCTACCGCAAGAAATTGTAAACAGGAACTGAAACAGTGGTTGCAGAAACTTTCATACGAGGATACAGAGGCGCTTTTACGATCCCCCTATACAGGTAACTAAACCAAATCGTATGATAAAGTCGTACTCATCACACACTTAGTGACGATTGCTGTTTTTACCACAACCAATCCCAAGATGTTTAAAATAGGGCAGGGCTTATGCACACATTAATACTCTCTCTCTCTCTCTCTTCTCTCACACTCACACCCACACACACACACACACGCACGCAAACTGACACACACGCACACAAACTAACACACACACACACACACATGCGCACGCGCGCGCGCATACACGCACACACATTTACTAACTTCTACGTGTACACTCGCAATTTCATCCCTCACTTTTATACTTGCTCTTAAGTAATGTCTCCACATGTAGTGGTTTCAATATTATGTAGTACTAACAAGGCATTTCTCTAATTGTTTTCTATAATGTCCGGTGGAAGGCGCTAGCGTCTGTAATACAGTTTTTACCATAAAACTAGTACAGCTGCTAACGATCAACCATATCTTACAAGTAAGTTGCCAAAAAAAAAAAAAAAAACCCAAAACGACTACTGTAATAGTTTAAGATACCCTGCATGTAAACAAAGTGATTAAATAAATTTATTATTATTATTATTATTAATTCAACCAAATTAATCACCGATGCACATAGGTCAACTTGACAAGTTAAACAAAACAATAACGTAAGAGACAGCCCTATTTCTCATTTACGTAACTTAGACAATGCCAACAAAATGTAAACCAAAGGAGAATTGACTTTTATTTACCTCGGCACAAATAGGGTTATCTAATTTCAGCCTTCTTTTTCACAAAGCAATATGATTAAACACTATCACAAAACATATACATAATTTTCCAAGTAGCGCGGCATTCAATTTCAAATGAATTCAAATTTTCTTTTCAGCAACCAGGCGCAACAATCAAATGCAGTGATTAAATATATTTACAAAACATATGCAGCAGCATTTAAAGGAGTAGATTAAATTCAATTCTTTTAATCACAGCCGCTACAAATATGAAAATTTCGCGGAAAACCCAAAAGCATTTTTTAATTTTAATTCAAGGAAATTTTAACTAAGTGCTCGACCAAACCAAATCTAATACCCCTTGACAGCGTGACTCAACGCTCCAAGGGGGGCCTAATCTTCCCACCACCAAGTGGAGGCCAAACGGCGTGAACCCGAAACCAATAGAGCGCAACCGCTAACAGTCGCCACTCGGGTTGTACGCCTTCACTGAGGCCATCGGCAACAGAACATTTTGACAAGTGGACTGTTGACGGCTTAAGGCTCAGTGGAGGCGGCCGTGGTGGGAGCTAAGGCGGCAGCTAGCCAGGGCCGCCTCCATCAAATGGGGAACAGTGGTACACCAGTCACGGCCACTCAGCTAACGGGAGTGCGAAGTGTCCAGCGGACCGATGAGTGGCCGTGAAGTTCCTCTGCACACGCTGAGGAGGGGTGAGGACACCCCCGCCCCTGGGGGAATTACCCCCCGACGGGTCGGGGGAGGGACTCTTTTCGAACCTAGGGGCCTGGTGGCTGGCCGGCGGGCGCCGAGAGTCACCCGTCAGAGGGCGTGGCTGAGCGCCCCCGCCCGTGGGGGTCGAGGGCCTGGCAGAGCCCCGAGAGGAGACGCCGTTCGCACCCAGGCACAAAACTGCATGATGATTGCCCTGGCAATGCAGACAGGGCCGCCGATGCGGACAGTCTCGCTGGAGGTGCCCTTCCAAACATGAGCAGCACCAGCGGCGCTCCTTGGCGATATTTCGCCTCGCCGGAACCGGCTTACCTAATAATTTCGGGCACGACGTTACCCGGTGATCAGATGCTCGACAATAGGAGCAGGGGGGGTTGACGACAACTTGCCTGGCGGATTCAGCCTCTCAATGGGCACGGCTCATAAGTCGTCAACGGTGCCTGCCGCGTTCTCTATCTGCCGGCACTGCTCCTCCAAAAACCGCAGCAGGTCATAGAAGGGCGGAATATAGGAGGCCTCGTCCCCGCCGTACATCTCCTCAAAATGGATTTGAAGGTCAAGAGGTAGACGGGACAGCACAATGCGGAGCAACAAAAAAGCCCATTCGCCCACTGGTAAATCCAGCCGCCTCAACATATTACAGGCCACCAAGACTAGATCCAACAGGTCCGGACGAAGTCTGGCCCGGTCACTAAGCAGCGGAAGGCTTAGAAGCTGTTTAACATGTTCGTCCGCAATTCGCCGGACGTTGGCGTATCTTCTGGCTAGGAGGTCCCGAGCAGTCTGGTAGGCGTCGTCCGACAATCTCAAGTGGCCGACGACGCCCAGGGCCTCCCCCTCCAGTGAGGCCAGAAGGTACGCCATCTTTTGGGTACGCATTCTTTCAAGTCACTCCGGGCGTCTACTAGGCTGTCGAAAAGACTAACGAAGGTCAGCCATTCGGAAAGGACGCCGGAGAACTTTGGCACGTCCAGAGTTGGGAGTCGTCCCAACAGCTTCGGCTGAAGCTGCTTCCGAGAGGACTCGGGCAGGTCACTCATCCGAGCTTCACGCGCCTCCTTGGCATACCTGCCTTCAGCCTCGATCAACTCGTCCATGAGCGAAAAGAACTGCTCATAGTCCGCGAAGCAGGAGTCCAGGACTCCCTTCTCCACATCCAAATCCTCGAGCTCAGCGTAAGCCTCATCCACTGCGGCCCTTCGAGCATCCACCTGCTCGAACCGCTTCATCAAGTTATGGACCCTATCCGGTCGACCTATCAAAGCATGGGCGCTTGTGGCCCAGCGCAACTCAGTCCGCAGACAACGGATCAGTAGCTTGGGCGATGACATCACTATTAAATACAAATTACGACGCGGCTCGAGCACAAATTACAAAGATAACAAACAAAAAAGACAACAAAAATTAACAGTTAATAAATGCAGTTCCTATCAAATCGCGTT